TCTCCCTGAACTTTGTTGTTGTGCTGGAGAATTCACAGCATGTAGGTGGCCATTCCTCTGTTTTGATGCGTTTGAAGCCATCGCTTATACTTGCGGCACTGGTACGGTGGTGGCGTTGTGTTATGTTGTGAGGTTTCATGCTGGACATAGTTTACGGGTGTTCAGCCCCTCATCGTGTGATGTTTGAAGCAGCAATCGGTGATAGTTAGTTGGCTGTTGGCTGAAATCGCGCTATGTCTATGCCTCGCGCGCTGCAAGCCACACATGTTAGCTGCTAGCTAGAATGATGCAGCACCCTCACCCAAGATCTGCCATGAATCTGAATGCTTCTCTCCTGACAGAGCTAATTAGGCGGAACAGTTCCTGACGCACTGTGCAGTGGAGCAACACGGGTGCCGAGGCAATTACTCTCTTGATGCCAGCATAGACAAGCGCCTCGGCTTTACAACCGAACGATCCAGCAGGTGTCGGCTTGAGGAGTGCTGATCTTTGCCATGCCTTGGCTGCGGCTTTGACTAACACCATCACTGCCACCCCCGCTACTGCTGCCAGTACCACTTGGGAACGGCTGAGCCCCCAAAAGCCATGGAGTCCCTGCACCCGAACCCGAAACCATGAATCGGAAATCTGATCTAAGCTGAAGAGAGTCCCAACTCCTGTGCTACGACAGGTTCTCGAAGGAGTCAGCATCCTTCGAAGAGTCTTGGGAGGTGCTGCTCTAGGGGCTTGAGGCGTGAGAGATTCGGTCTTGAAGGGGGCAGAGGAATAGGTGTCTGGGTAAAGGATTTCGGGATAGTTGCGGGTTCGCCTCAGGATGCTGAACACTAATTCCTCAACCCTAAACCCTACATTGCTGAAAGGTTACACCACTACACTTGAACAGAAAAGCTGTGAACCATATTTCATTTTACGGTCGCGAGCTCTCGGACGCAAAACAAGGGAGGCGAAGCCTCGGCAAGAGCCACCGGCTCTTCGGTAGGCCAGGCGAGACTTTGCTCTGCGGCAATCGCTGGTTTCCAAAACGTATCTTGGTTCCCTCTCTTACTGTGTTCGGAGACTCGATGTTGGGGTGCCGTGTGGGACATGATTGGCGATGCTCGGCAGCATGAGGAAACACGCACGGCATATCTCGGATGCAGGCGGCGTACTGTGTCGCTGAAGCCTTACTTCTCGTGGGCGTGTGGGATAAGGTCAGTACTTGTCGGACCTCGGTGACTTGTCGCGACGCATTGCAGGTTGCGATGTGCTGATACTGTCTGTGAGGATTTGGCTGCTAGCCATATCGCTGACTGTCTGGGTGACGGCTTAATTCTGATGAGCGTGTACTGAGACAAGGTCGGTATTTGTCGGACTTCGGTGACTTGCCGCTACGCGTTGCAGATTGAGTGTCTGTGAGGATTTGGCTGTTAGCCAAAATGCTGACTGTCTGGGTGACGGCTTAACTCTGATGAGCGTGTACTGAGACAAAGTGGGTATTTGTCGAACTTCGGCGACTTGTCGCTACGCGTTGCAGACTGCCTGTCTGTGAGGATTTGGCTGCTAGCCATATCGCTGACTGTCTGGGTGACGGCTTAATTCTGATGAGCGTGTACTGAGACAAGGTGGTATTTGTCGGACTTCGGTGGCTCGTCGCTATTCGGTGCAGACTGCCTGTCTGTGAGGATTTGGCTGCTAGCCGTATCGCTGACTGTCTGGGTGACGGCTTAATTCTGATGAGCGTGTACTGAGACAAGGTCGGTATTTGTCGGACTTCGGTGACTTGCCGCTACGCGTTGCAGATTGAGTGTCTGTGAGGATTTGGCTGCTAGCCAAAATGCTGACTGTCTGGGTGACGGCATAATTCTGATGAGCGTGTACTGAGACAAGGTCGGTATTTGTCGGACTTCGGTGACTTGCCGCTACGCGTTGCAGATTGAGTGTCTGTGAGGATTTGGCTGCTAGCCATATTGCTGACTGTCTGGGTGACGGCTTAATTCTGATGAGCGTGTACTGAGACAAAGCATCCATGCTGGAAGAGTGAATGAAGTGTGTTGACTTGGGCAGCAGTTCCGGGGCATCCAGCTGCATCGGTGCATGTTTGGATGGGCCAATATGGGCCATTTGCAACTGCTCGACTTCCGCTGCACATGACGGACGGTAGTGCAGCATGCACGGCAGTACGTATGTGCTGATTCCTGAATCGGGCATTTCTCCTTTTCGGCGCACTGTTGCAGGCTGCGGTGCTGCAGCTGTACAGGCAAGGCCTTGGTGCCTGGGAGGAGCTCAAGGCAGGTCTGCCAGACTCCAGGCTGCCTCTATTCCAGCATCTGCTGACCCGGCAGAAAGTAGACCCTTGAAGCCGGACCGGAGCCCCGGACCTGAAATCCAAAATCGTGAGCCGTCGACTTCACGCCATCCTAACATGTCCGAGTCTTTGCCGACTCGGTTGGAAGTGCGTAGCAGTTCCCAGGCGCCCTCCGGCCTACCATTTCCAGCCCCAAGCCCTTAGCCTTAAGACCTTAGTAGCCCTGACTCGTAAGCCCCAGAATTCTTGGGACCTGCAAAGAGCAGGCCAAGACGCTCCTTGCCGTCGAAGGCCAACTCGGCGGGCTGCAGCAGGCAGCTGCTCGGGGAGTGGCGTGGAGCGTGGAATGTAGGGTTATGAAGAGTTAGAAATAACTGCGAAGAGTAAGAATATCCCGATATCCCGTTGCCGTGCCTGTGCAATTACACTACAACTCAGTCTTATGTTGCTTTGGGAAGACGGGTTCCGCATTTTGTCCTTCGTGTTAAACCCAATATTCGCAATAGTGTTATTGTTCTTTCTCTGGCTGTTATTCCAGGTGCTGTCGTTGTTGTGGTTGCTGCTGGTGCCGCTGTGATGTGTTTTTCTTACTTTTCTTCTATAAATTTTCTCTTGTTAGTATATGACGTCTTAGGTGGTTCTTGCGTGTTCTTGCTTTTCCTTTCACTGCTATCAATCTTTGTCGGCATTAGCATATCAGTATATAGCGTCAGGACACCAGAATGATGTTCGGCATTCTAAGCTTGTGACAAAATGTAAACTGATAACGGTTTCAGCAGTATACACAAGGACTGCAGAGTACCTGGGATGTGCCATAGTGTTTGTCGCCATGCACTGATACAAAGGCAACCAGTCAATCAAGCAATCAATCAATCAATCAATCAACCTACCAAGCAAGCAAGCCAGCCAGCAAGCAGTGAGTCAGTCAGGCAAGCAATCAAACAATCAATCAGTCAGTCAGTCAGTCAGTCACTCACTCAATCACTCAACCACTCCAGCACTCAATCAATCAATCAATCAATCAATCAATCAATCAATCAATCAACCAGTCATACTATCAGTGTGTGTATGTATATATATATATATATATATATATATATATGCTCACGCCCCCCCCGATGATCCACCCGAGCCTGCTTTTTGAAAGCTGTGGATTATGGGACGTGGGCACCCTCGGATGCGAAAGCATCGGCAGGGATCAAATTTCCCCAAAATTCCTGAAGCCTGAAATGCGAAAACATTGGCAGGGATCAAATTTCCACAAAATTCCCAAAATCTGAGCAACTA